CCAAAAGGGCATTCTGCTCTACCCAGATCTTTTAGGGGCATTTTGACACATATCTCAACTTATAGGGGTATTTTGCAAATTATCCTTAAAAAAAAACAAAAACAAATATATATATAAAAAAAGAGAATCTAACTAAAATGCTGCGCCAGATGGAGCGCAGGGAAGTGGCAGGGACTTGCAGTTCCCCCAAAAAAGGACAGCACAATACTATAATGACAAAAAAAAAGGCCTGAAAGGCCATCCTGTCCAGATTCGACAGGTAATTGAATTGGTTGGGCTTAAACCACCAGTACCTCGCTCAGCTATTGAATCCGAGCCTCTTAGCACGCTGCGCGCCAAGTCCTGCCGAACCGCAGTCACAATTTTCTTTTTCGTTTTGCCTGCGGCCTCCAGCCAATGCGGTCCGGCAGGCCGAAGCCCAAATGGCGCGGCGCATATACGGGAAGCGCCGCGGCGGATAGCTTGGCCAGGTACTGGTGGTTTAAACCACTAGTACTTGGCCCATACATTGACCGCGGGGCTTTCCCGTCGCCGCGATTTGTGGGGTTCGGCAAAGGCTTGGCATGACAATGGGGGAGGGAGCTGGTGGCCCCACGGAAACGGGGCAGAAGGACTGAAAGATGTCCTGGTGGTGTGCAATGTAGAAACGTGTGGGAGGGAAAGACAGAAAAGAAAAGGAACGGGAACGTGAGAAAAGAGAAATTGAGAGTCCTTTTTCTTTCCTTTTTTTTTTTTTGAAGCATACTCTTTTCTTTTTTTTAATTTTTTCTTTTTCGTTCCTGATGAGTGTCTGCCAGCCCTTCCATCTTCAGGTCTTTACTGTATCGTTTCTCGGTTCACTTCTGCGCCGTGGCGGATGAATTGAAGTGCAATCACCGTCAGAGATTGGTTTCCCTTTTCGCCCCTTTTTCTTTTTTTTTTCCTTATTTGAGAAAAAGATCCTTGGCAGTTTGTAATCTGACTCCCCGGCACTAGCCGGGGGCTTTGCGGCTGGACGGATAGCGCACTCTCGCGCCGTTCCGAATCGGAGCTTGATGAAGGAGCCCACGTTAGGGTTTCGGAGTAACTGTTTCGCCGCCATCTCCGCCATCGTCGACGGAGAGCGGGACTCCCACATTCGTATGGTCATACGGATCGGCTAGGGCCGAAAAAGGGTCTATCGAAGCAGCCCATAGACGGGTAGGTAGATCAAGGTAATAATGAATGAAATCTAAAAACAGCAAGTTAGTGAGGGAAGGAGGTTGGAGAGATGGACGTGCAAGTCACGAGAGATCAGACATGGCGGTAGGAATTGGTCGATTAGATGGGGGGTCCTGGTCCGCCATCACCAATAAGCACGGCCCAAGTATCGAGGAGCAGGGAGTGAGCTTGAGCCCAGAAACGTCTGCCAATATCTCTTACCTTTGGCGGGGGACGGAATGAGGCTCTTGATCTCTACTCTCGGGAGACATCCTCTCTCCGCCCCAGCACACGATGCAATCTTGAGGTAAGTCGAGTATGAGGTGGCGGGAATGCGGAAGTTAAAGTGGTGATTAAGGGAGGGAAGGCAGGAGCCGGAGTAGTACATGGAAAATGGTATAGGTCGGGGGAGGCGACCCCGTCGGCAGGAGGGCCAGCACGGTTGAACCACTATGAAGAGGCGGTAAGTTTAGAGTAAGGCCTTGGGAGATGGCCGGGCAGTGAGTCAAGAGTCGTATGCGAAGAAGCGGGGCCGCGTATACATGGCGGGACCAAGACAAGAGAGTAGTCGATCTCTCCCCTCGTCCCTCTCTGCTACCGACAACCACCCGTAGAGAGCTCCCCGGACAAGGAAGCTCTTCGTCGTCGTCTACGAGAGCATCGACATCAGCGACCAGGGAGTGCGCATTACTCAAAGCTGATGAAGAGGGGTGCAGAGACGGCCTCAGATCGGAGCGAATAGGCTACAGTGCACAAACTGGAGAACTGAGGAGTCCGACCTATAAGATGTAGGAGCGCCCGCCACGTCAGCATCCGTCTGGAGCGCTCTCCCCCGCGAGCTTGGGTAGGAAGTCGTCTGCCCTTCTTCTTGAGTTGTCATCAACCTACCAAGAGAACCACGAGGAGGCCCGTTCGTTCTTAGGATGAGATCGGCGGTGGGTAGTGGAGTCGGCGTAATCCAATGTGGACCTGGATAAATCTTGGTCGTTGGGCTCTGTTAGTCGAGCACTGGAGATGATACTAGGCTCAGTTCTATCGCTCACTGCTTTGGAAGCAGGATCGGCCGCCACATCATCCTTCGCCTCTATCGCTACTTCCCTAAGTGCCGTAGGGGGAAGTAGTCTGGTAAGCCACTTCCTCTCTCCCGCTCCAAGCCTTGGGTCGCTCCATTGCTCTACCTTCTCCTCCGTTGGGTTCTTGCCGGGTTTCTCACCCCCCCTACTCTCCTGTCACAAGTGGGTAGAGTAGGTTTTATGCCGTCGGTTTGTCAGTCTTACTTCCTCAACCATAAACCACAGGGGGGGAAATGAGGAAGGGTCATGTGGAGGAGGGAGGTCAGATCTGAGTACGTGGGACGTGGGGCAGCGAATCATAAAACGCCTCCCATCGGTAAGGGGTGGGTAAGAGGAGCCGTCATAATAGAAGCTAGGGTGGGGAGATGATAACCTTGTTCAAAAGTCGTTCACTCCCGATATCCCCTCACCCCGGAGCACTCTTTTGCTTTCCCCTTCCGCCCAAGTTAGAGGGAGAGTGAGAAGAGAGGGGGAAAGGAAGTGAGAGAGGGAGAGAGGGAGAGGAGAGAATTATCAGGCTGAACAGGAATTGTGATAGCGGAGGAGGGAGAGAGGGAGAGAGAAAAAGAGAGGGAGGGAGAGGAAGAGAGAGAAAAGGGAGTAAAAGGGGAAGAGTGCGTTTTGAGTCCTCTCATTCCGGTTCACCTGTTCCTCTCACAATCAGGTATGGGGGTTCATGTCGCGAGGTGGTAGGTTCTGCTTGCTGCCCCACATCATCCCTTCCTTTATCTCTCCCTTGGCAACCCTCCCCTGATGTTCCTCCTCCGTCTAAGCTTCCCTGAAGCTTGGCGCTGATTTCTAAGTGACAAAAAATTTCATGATGACTCGCGGGCTGACGATCGAAATTTCCAAAAGCTCAAAGTCCTTCTTTTGCTTCTGAAAATCTTCAAATTATGCCCGCCCCCCTGCCCCCCCCCTCGAGGATCTTCTTCCCACTTGGCACCCCGATGCCCTCGCCGAACCTTGCCGGCGGATGAACCATACATTCTGTAATCTACCCGAATGTGAACCCTTCACCCTCCATCTTGCAAGTGGTAGCTGGAGGATGCCCTGGGACGTCACTCATCAGGCTGTAGTATTTAGAGTAAGAGAAAGGGGTAAATGGTTGGCTCTCCGATTAACATCCGTGTTTCCCTGATTGTATTAAGGTTATCGGGCATGCTGTCCCAATTGTAAATCTCGGTTAGAGTCCTTACCTACCCTCCAAGACACACTACGAGAGCTCCAAGCGGCCCTCAGTGGGGAAAAGTGTTTGGTTTGCGGATGCGATGATGTAATGCATTATGGGTCTGAATAGTTATCTCTTTGCCTAGCTTTCGCGTGGGGGGCTACTAGCCGGACACTGGGGAGGGTGTCAAGATTTACCCTCTTCGTTCTTCCTTTTCCGAAGAAGGATCTGCTTGCTGTGATCTACAAAGACCTCGGGAGCTATGGGAGGATAGGAGGAGGTTAAGGGTAGGCTCAAGATCAGTCGTCACCTTTTAGTTGGATGGCCAACCGAGGTTAGGGAGGTTACACATGGATCGTTGCCACTATTGGTCCTCCCTGTTTGGCTATCCTTCTTGCACCCTCAGGTGTTCGTTGCTCATTGAAGGGCTCGGTTCGAGGGTCTTTAAGGGTAGATAAGTATACCTGGTATGTGTTACCTCCAGTTAAGCGTTTTTTGAGTTGGCATCTAGCTACAAAAAATTCGAAAAGGGAGCCCCATTGCCCGATTGGAAAATGGTTGCTTGGTGACCGGGATGGCGAAATTTGTACCATAATTGGATCGTATTGTCTCCACTTACCTCACTCGGTCGATTCTTACTAGTCGAACACTGAGGTTGGTGTTAAATATGGGTCTCTCGCCTAACCCCGGGGAGTTTGCTCGTCGAGAGCAATAGGCGGTGAAAAAGACTCAAGGGGTTAAAAAGAAGGAAAGGAAGGAGAGAGAGGGAGAGAGGGAGCGAGGAAGAGAAAGGGAGTGAGAGGGGGGGAGAGAGAGAGGGGGAGAAAGAGGGGAAGAGAGTGATTAAGAGGGAGGATGAGAAGAGAGAGGGAAAGAGAGTGAGAGAGGGAGAGAGGGAAAGAAGAGAATTAGTAGGTTGAATGAGAATTGTGATAGCAGAGGATTGAGAGAGGTAGAGAGAAAAAGAGAGAGAGGGAAAGGAGGAGAGAGAGAAGAGAACGAAAAGGGAAGAGTGAGTGAGCGAGGGAAATAATAAAAGGAGTATTGATCTTCCAAGCTCCCTGGACCCCCACCTCTCGCCACACCTTCGCAGGAATAAAAACCTGCGCTCCTTCATCAATCTGTACCCTCTGTTGTCATTTTTGCGGGCACACAGAACCTCTGGTTACGGTGAGCCATTAAGAAGATGCTCCTGCATTGTTTTAGTAGAACATAGAACATTCTTTATTAAGCCTTGTACCGACATAGGGATTATTTATGTTTGAGTTAATTCTTGGATTCTTTATTGCTGTAATATTTATGTACGTAGGGAGTCGTTCGAGGGGGGACAGAGGAGCAGGGAAGAAGGGAATGGGGGAATTTGGGGGAATTTGGAGGGTAAAAGTGGGCGGAAGAGGGTGCCAACCGATCATCTCCATTTGGGGTTCGGCAGGTCCAATGGTAGGACCAGCAAATTCAGGCGTACATTAGGAGCTTTTCGCCACCTCCTGGTCTCCCCCCTCTCCCGATGGTTCTTACTACCTTCCTGTGCTGCTCTCGAGGTTTGGTATACTCCTGGATTGGTAGGCTCTTCTGTGAGTTCATGCGCTGCTGCGGTCCTGGCGGGTCCTACACATTGGTCCGGTGGGGTTGGTGGGGAAAGGGTAGAAGGAGTTGTAAGCTGGGTAGTAGGAATCAAGTAATTAAAGAAGGATGGCAGAGATGGACACTGATACGTAGGCAGGGGTACACAACCCCCGGGGCCCCCCCTTTCCCACAATTTTTTGGGCAATGGAGGACCAGACGAGGCAGTCAATAGGGCAAAGCTACGATGAAGGGATTATGCAGATAAACCCAAACTTCGGTCAGGTCATTACTGATGAGAAAGGAAGGAGGTTCAAGGTAAACAAATCGCTGGACGCCATCAAGGAAAGATGGCTGAAGGAGAGAACGGTCATCGTGGTGTTCCAAGAGGAGGCCCGTAATTTAACGAGAGGAGCTAAAGAAGACCTCATTAGAGCCTATGAGGACGGGTGGCTGGCGAGGAGGCTAGTTAATCCGGAGGTACGAAGGGGCAGGGTCACGTTTGAAGGGGCGAATGTTGTTTCATATGTAGCAAAGGCGCCGGAGGTGGCTGCATGGATGGTTCAGATGGCGACAACAAAGCTGAATCTAAGGGGCATGGACTATCTGGTGGTTTTCAGACCATGGATGACGAAGACAGACCTGAAGGATCTCAGGTTGAAGGAGGCAGAGACTAACTTCTGGATAGTGGCTTTGAGAGTTCCATTAGAGGCTTTTTACTACCTAGCTTCTGCAGTGGAAGGACTAGCTGGAGAAGTAAAGCATATGCACCCGCCGGAGGTTGACCGCTCACGTCCAAAGCTGATGAATGTAAAGTTTGATATGGAGCCACAGGCCAGGTACCGAGTGGAGGATATGTTGGCGGTAGAATCCCCAAAAGGGGAGATCTGGAGGGTGGAGGTGGCCACTCCCTACACCGACTGGTGCCATCGGTGCCGCTGGTATTTTCACACAGAGGACCGCTGCCCCAGAGCACTTCAGTTAGACCGTCCACCGAGACAGTGGTCGAACTCACGGTTACCTCGTCAGAATGGACCAGGCCAGTCACAGGAGGCCGGGGGGGCCCAGGGTGTACCAGCCCAGGGTGAGGGACCGAGACCACCGCCACGAGGGGCACCTGCCCCAGATAATGCAAGGTCACATCAAGTCGCTGGTACAACAGCACTAGGTTCCCAAGGGAGATAGGTCAGCGGGAACAAACAACAGGGAAGCCAACCTCTAGTGCAGCCAGGTCCCCCCCCACTGGCACAGGGGAGCTTTGAGGGGAGAGGAGGAGGAGTTGAATACGGAGCTCAAGCCCCTGCACATATGGTCCAGCAGGGAGTATCCCCCGGAAGTCATCATCCCACTTGTCCGCCTCCGATGCCATGCTGCGCACACACACAACCCACAAACCCTGACAATCCTCATTACTTGCAGATGTATGCAAGGGCGGTCGGCCCGTTGGGGCCTCCACCCTCCCATTGGGGGGGGCAATGGGACGCAGAGTTGCAGGCAATCCATCTGCAGTCACCGATACAACAAAGAGCCTTGCAACACTTCGTGGACCATTCTCTGTTGCATACATGTCCCCCGGGAGTTCCAGACCCGGGCTACACAGAGCAGAGGCTCCACTACCATCCAATGGGAACCATGCCCCCACTTGGAGCGGACTCCTATTGGCCGGATAATTAGGCGGAGGGGGCTCGTTTCTACAGGCATCAGGGAGCAAAGCAAGAAGGGTCACACAGGTTAGAACGAGCCTGGAGTAACCCAGGACAGAGGTTAGGCCAAGAAGGGTACAGTTCACACAGGAGTAGAGGAGAAACTCAGGTAGCTCTGGTTCAGAGAAGTCGGCTAAGAGTAGAAGGGGCAAGAAGAGAGTGGAGTTGGTTGTCGTTAGGGGGGGATCAGAGAAAAGGGGCTAGTGCCCTTTCAGTCTCGTCGGAATCACGAGTGGTGGTGGGAAGTGAGATCTTGGGGGATGAGCTGCTGGGGTCTGGGGAGGGAGACTTAGAGCGGGAGCACTCAGAATCCTCCACGGGCAGTTCAGGAGCTGCGCACAGAAGACGGGACCCGCCATCGGATACACAGAGTAAATTGGAGTATAGAGAAAACCGTGAAGGAGGGTCACCAAGTCTAAGACACCAGGTCAGAGACAGAGTGGAGAGGAGAATGGTGTCGCTGGTGTGCACGGGTACGGAAGACAGAGTTTTCTTCCTGGGATGGCGGACACGCAGGGCCGTCCTTACTTACCTTCGGAAGTAACTGGGAGAACACCACTGCCGATGGAAATCCTTTCTCTCACCAAGAACCTGTATGGTGGCGATTTTCCAGTTAGATTGATCCCAAGATCCACGATGACGAGCATTATTGTTCCGCTAGAGGACCGGATCTACAAATTGTATTTTCCTCTCCTCGATGCCAGAATCAGTGCAGCAGCAGCGAGATCCTTGTAGCAGGGGGGCATCCAGTGGTTCAAGATGGATGCTGTCAGGGAGCAGAACTCGCAAGAACTGGAGATAATCTCCATCGCGGCCAATGTCTCAGCGCTAGCTCTCCTTCATATGAATGAGAAATTGGCGGAAGGAGAGAACCTCCACTCACCGTTTATACACGATTCCCTGTTTGCCCCATGGAGGTCGTCCACGAGGTCAGTGGGCTCAGAGGAGCCGTCGAGAGACACTCCTATGGCCCGCACCCCCTCAGAGGAGCACCCTCGCTGGGGGGATGATCCTGTCAGCTCTGCAAACCGCATCCAAGGTAAAAAAGCGGTGTTCTCGTCCAATGGTCAGACTTAAATTAGCTACCTGGAATGTGAGGGGAATGGGTAGTCCGCTAGAGAGAGGGAAAAGGAGGAGGATTAAGGCCTGGATGTTTGAGGAAAAATTAGATGGCCTGTTCATTCAGGAGTCCAAATTGGATGAGGCAAGACTGCAAAGATTTGCGCAGTGGTGGGAGGGACCGCAAGTGTGGTCGCCAGCGCAAGGATCAAAAGGGGGGGTAGGGATAATCCTGAGTAGGGATCTGGAACCTTAGGTAATTGACTCGGAAGCGGACTTGTGGGGGAGGTGGGCGTGGATTCGGCTCCTGGTGGGTCAAAAAGATTGGCTACTAATGACGGTGTACGTGCCCTCAGTCCTGGGCCCTAGGGTGGAGTTCTTACAAAATTTTGCAAGTAAGGTACCAAAGGTGGCCCATAGGATAGTGGTGGGAGACTGGAACGTTTCCCTGGATGAGGCAATGATCCACGGAATACGCACAACAGGAAGAAGGGATGCAACTATACTTCTGGAGGCGATGCACTCACTGGACCTGACATACCCATTTCGTCTGCTAAACCCAGATGAGGCTGGGTACACCTGGTACTCAAACCCGAGAAGAGATAGGAGGGAAGGGACAAGACGCCGACTTGATTACTTCTTGGTGTCAGAATCGCTGCAGCAACGGTTTACGGCAATAAAGCAGCGACTTCATCCGCTTTTTGGTCATAAACTGGTGTCTGCTGACATACTGACAGGGGCCTTGGGAGAGAGGGGGAAAGGGTTCTTCAGACTGAACTCACAAAACCTAGAGCAAGGAGGCTGGGAGAGTGGGAAAAGATACAGGCTGCAAAACACGGGCGATGGGAGGAAACTCTGAAAATCAAGGGGATTGTGGTACACGACAGGCTAACAAAAGAGACCTTTCGTCGCTTGCTGCGTAGTGCAGCTCATTAGCAGGTGGTTCAACTCAATCACCCATTCGACCCAGTGGCAGCTCCGGCAGCTGCACCTGCAGAGATGTTGGAGTACGCTAGGCTGTACTATGCGGATATTTTGACGGCAAGAAGGATAGCAGACTCTCCTCTCTCGGACCTCTCACAAGACAGTGACATGTGGCAGCAGACAGAAGTGCTATTGACACCGCAATAAAGATTGAGCTTGGACAGGCCGGTCATGTTGGAGGAGTTGGCACAAACACTGAGGGTAATGGCAGCAGGCAAGGCACCAGGGAGGAATGGGTTATGCGTGGAATTTTTTCGATGCTGTTGGGACGCGTTGGGCCCTCCACTAGTGGAAGTGTACAACAAGGTTCTAGTGGGAGAAGGTCTGGTTGCGGTGATGACACATGGGGTCATTGCACTAATGTTCAAGAAGGGAGATAAGGCGAATGTGAGGAACTATCGCCCGATCTCCCTCTTGAACGTAGACTATAAGATCCTAGCAAAAACGATGGCGTTAAGGCTACGGAGAATCCTCCCCAGACTGGTAGAGCGTGACCAAGGGGCCTTCGTGCAAGGAAGGTCGATCTTCCTTAATATCCTCACGGCAATTGAGTCAGTGGAGGTCTTGAAGGGGGAGCACAGAGATATGGCAGTGTTAATGCTGGATCTAGAGAAGGCGTATGATAGAGTGGGCTGGTCGTTTGTCCTCACTACGCTGAAAAGGATGGGTTTTAGGGATGGGTTCTGCAGATGGGTAATAGCAAAGGCGGCTTCGTCCGCTGTCCAAGTCAATGGCCACCTCTCGAGGTCCTTTCAACTGACACACTTGTGATAAGCTCAGACTCGTACCCCGTGGCTTGCCGTATCCCTGAGGAAAAATCCCCCGGAAGCCCCGAAATACGGATGCGAACAAAAAGGGGTTTTTCTTTCTTTTTGCTTTTGTTTTCTTTTTGAAACGGCTTTTGCATTTTTTTTTGGTTAATAACTCCCGCGCGGGCGAATAGCGGCCGCGGTATGAAAACCAAGAAACGGTTTCGGTTGGGACTTTTTGAATTTTGCGCGCGCGCGCCTAAGCTCCGACTTCTTCGCACGTCTCGCACCCCCGTTTCTTGCTTTGCGTCCCCGCGCCATCTTCCTTTCTTGCTGCGCGTGTCTCCCCCATGCAGGACTCTTCGTCTTCCCCTACGCCCAGCTCGATCCTTACCCCGTCGTCCTCCGCGAAGTGATTGGCTGCGTAGTTGGGATGCTCGGATCAATGTGGAGAGCGGGAAACCGCGCACCACTTGAACGAACACCCCAATCACGTAGGACCATGCAACTCCGCGGGGTCGGACCCTCTGACCCCCCCCCCACCTTTCTTATGTCATGCTCATCTACACCCTGCGCTGCCCGCACCTCGCGCTGACAACCCTCCGTCTCCTGCGCTATAAATTCGCGCAACCCTCTCCTCTCCCTCTCTTTTGATCTCGGCTGCAATGTTGGGCGAGCTATGCACGAAGTTCGCGGCGCCGAACAGGCTCGACGAGCCCAAGGACGGGCGGAGTGACGACGCGGGGTGGACCCGCGGTAGACTCGGGGTGAAGCAGTCGGGGGGACTGAGCAGAGGTGGGGATTGGACACCGGCCGCGGCAGGGCCTTGTGGCTATGGTGGTCGGTGGTCTTGGGAAGTTTTGAAGGCTGCGCCTGGGGGCGACAGTTAATTGAGAATTTTTGTATACAAGAAGGACTCGCTTTTATCTCCATTGCTGCTTTGTCTATGCATGGCGTGTGTGTGAGGCCCCGAGTGATGGGAGCTTGTCGTGCGCATGAGTGATGTCCAAGGTCTAGGGATGATTGGATGTCTTGTCAAGGTTCGATTGATTGTATGCAGGTATGTGTGTATGTACTTATCCGGGCGGGGACGGGGGAACTGAACCGGATGACCATCTGCTTAGGAGTATGAGTGTGATAATCTCGCTGTTCCCCTCCCTTCTGCAGCCCTTCCTGCGCGCACGCGCAGTCTCGGTGTAAACTCTCTCTCTCTCTCTCTCTCTCTCTCTCTCTCTCTCTCTCTCTCTCTCTCTCTCTCTCT